CTGAACTCGGCGCCTAATGGGTTTTGTGTTGAAGACTTCCCCCTGAACTTCCTCTCAGAGCCTTGGTGCCAGTTGCATTACGTCCTGATGATGTGCATTAGCAACTTTTAGGGAAATGGTGTCAGGCCTCGGTGATGCCCTCTTTAACTCTCTCACTCGTCTGGACTGCAAGTCTACTACCATAATCAGTATGAAGACACAATCCAAAGAGTATGGCAGCTTCTCTGCTGGCTCTCCCTCCAGAGCAAGTGTTTGACCTGCAGAATGAAAAATTTTAAACCTTACTACTTTATAGTCAGACTTCACTTTTTATATGGTTCTCCATGCACTGTGACCATTTTGGAAATTCAAATGGTCTTCAGATTCACAGAGGTTGACTGACCATCTGTACAAATAATTTTTAAGTGCTTATGAAGGACAGTTTCAAAAGAGGGGTTCTGAAGACAGTGAACAGGGAGCACACCAGTTTAAGCATCATCCTCTGTGCAGTATCCCTGCCCACCCTCTCGCCTCCCCAAGGGGCCTTGCAGCACCGTTGCTGGGAACCCCCTACTGTCACTACACTCACACCTGGTGTGGCTGTTATCTGTTCACATGGGCCTCCCTCCTTGAGACTGTAAGATCTCTGAGAAGAAGAATGTATCTTGTAGGCTTTTGTAACCCCAGTACAATAAAACATTGAGCAAGTGTATTTGTATGTATGTCTGTAATATACATACAACTATTTATTTATATATTTGTTTACATACACTTTTTTATTGAAGTATAGTTGCTTTACAATATTGTGAAAGTTTGTTTGTTTCAGGTGTACAGCAAAGTGACTCAGTTATTTTTTTCAGATTATATTCCATTATAAGTTATTATAAGATAGTAAGTATAATTCCCTGTGCTGTATAGTAAATCTTTGTTGCTCATCTATTTTATATGTAGTAGTTTGTATCTGTTAATCCCATACTCCTCCCTCCCTCTCCCCTTTGGTAACCATAAGTTTGTTTTCTGTCTTACATATATGTTTGTTTACATTATATATATAATTTATTGACCATCACGATAAATACTCCTGAGTACATCATTTCATTTAACCTTCAAAACAGTCTTATAAGGTAGATGCTATAAGTTCTCATTTTAGAGATAAGAGAACTGAGTCACAGAAAGGTTAAGTAAATTACCCAAAGTCACATAATTAATAAGCGAAGAGCTGATATTTGAATCCAGGGTTGACACCAAGGTATGTTTTCAGCCACTGTGACAGAAGAGCTACCACCAACATTTACTTAGCATCTGCTGTTTGCACTTGTGCAATGTTTTTCACATTCGTTGTTTCATTTATCCCACAAAGGATCACAATGAAGTGTGGCTCTCAGTTTAAAACATAAAACTTCCTTTGGGTGTATACCCAGAAGTGGAATTGCTGGATCACATGGTAGATCTATTTTTAACTTTTTGAGGAAGCCAAAAACAGGATCTTGAAGAGATACATGCACTCCCATGTTTATTGTGTTAGTCACAATAGCCAAAATATGGAAACATCCTAAATGCCCATCAACAGATGAATGGATTAAAAAAGGTGTGAGATATATACACAATAGAATATTATTCAGCCATGAGAAAGGAGGACATCCTGCCATTTGTGACAACATGGTTGGACCTTGAGCACCTTATGCTAAGTGACATAAGCATGATATCACTTATATGTGGAATCTCAAAACAGTCAAACTCATAAAAATCAGTAAAATGGTGGTTAGCAGGGGATTGGGGGGAGGATAAGATAGATGTTACTTAGGGGTACAAACTTGCAAAAGTAGTAAATAAGTCATAGAGATCTAATGTGTAGTATGAGGCATACGGACAACAGTATTGTACTATAATCATCAAACTTGCTAAGAGACTACAATTTTAATTGTCTCAACCACTAAAAAGAAAGTATAATTATGTAATGTGATAGAGGTGCTAAATATCGCTACAGTGGCAATCATATTACAATATACACATGTATAAAATTAACATGTTGGGCTTCCCTGGTGGCGCAGTGGTTGAGAGTCCGCCTGCCGATGCAGGGGACACAGGGAGTCAGAAAAACCATCCTTTAAAAATGAAGACAGGGCTTCCCTGGTGGCGCAGTGGTTGAGAGTCCGCCTGCCGATGCAGGGGACATGGGTTCGTGCCCCGGTCCGGGAAGATCCCACATTCTGTGGAGCGGCTGGGCCCGTGAGCCATGGCCGCTGAGCCTGCGCGTCTGGAGCCTGCGCTCCGCAATGGGAGAAGCCACGACAGTGAGAGGCCCGCGTACCGCAAAAAAAAAAAAAAAAATTAACATGTTATACACCTTAAATTTACACAATGTTATCTGTCAAATATATTCAATTAAAAACATGAGAAAACTGAGGGCCAAGGAGCTTATGTAACTTACCCAAAGTTGCACAGTTACTAGGCAGTTAAATCCAACATTCAACCCAGTGTTACCTCCCACACCATGAATCACCTGGGAGAACTGGGCACAGCTGTACGTAAACATCATTAATGAGAAGAAAAGATGACAGTTATGCTGACCTATTTCTTTTTTTCAGGTTCAGTCATTTTTAGCATCACTTGATGGAGAGAAGCTGGAAGTCTTTAAAAATGACCTAATTTCCATTAAAGACATCTTTGCAGCCAAAGAATTAGAGAATGAAGAGAATCAAGAAGTGCAAGGTAAAGGAAAGTAACCAGTTAAATAGCAAGAGAAACGATTGGTGCCGTCCTTAGAAACTGCTGTTAATAAGCATAGCCCTTTGAACAGGGGAGAATTACTTAATTCAGGTGCTTCTCCTGCTCACTTCCAAATTCTCTGTGCATCTGCTCTTGTTACAGGAGCTGGTCACATTGACCTATAGTCCTCCTGTCCTTTGGGCGGGAACTCCTGAGTGAGGCACCTTTATTTCTCTGGTGTCCCTGGCATGTCACAGGCACACAGCAAATGCATCTGGTCACGTGAACAAAGAGCACAGTGCACTCAACAGGGCCCTGATGACTAGAGTTTATGCTCCAGTGTCTGATTTTTTACCTGCACGTGGAAGTTGTTGAATGTGGTTGATGTTGATGGTGGGCAGGTCTTTCAATGGATTTCTTTTCATATTTTTCTTCTTCCTTTTAATTTCTGTGTGTAGGAGTTAGGGTGTATTTGTAAGCAGCCTACGCGTCACCCAAAAAATACAAAGACACACGGTGCATCAAGGCGTGATTTGTCAGGTTTGATTGAGTTAGTCAATCACTAAAGTGAGCCAGGTACACGCTCTTCCAGCCAG